ATTTAATTATAACTGCTCTCGCATTTCATTACATTAATCCAATTATTGCAAAATAAAGTGTTATTATGTCTATTAAGGATATAAATAGCTTTAACTGATTAAATTGCTATAAATCAATTGTCAGAATGGAAAAGGTAAAAAAGTTTAATATTAGAATTGTTCCATACATTTGAGATTCAATTGTAAGCAAGCATTAGAAAAAGAGATCAAAGAATTTATTCCATTGATTTGATCCAAAAATCATTGTTTAGTATACAATAAATCATCTTTAACTTAAGACTTATTTGTTTCAATATTTATTGATTAGCAGTGAAAAGGAGTTAAAAAATAAAATTAAGAAATTAGCCGAACGTTTTCGGTCAACACTGTGACCATCATCAGGGCTAAGATGTTATGAGAGATAATAGAAATGATTGTCGTTTTAACTGGTGTTTGAATCATATTTAAATTTTAGTTTATATACAGTCTTATAGGTTAGAATAAGTAAATTAAACTTTTTATTGTTTTTACTGAATATTCTACTAACTCTTAATTATACCAATATTTGGATTAGTGTTTGACAGGGAATTACGCAAACTTTATATAAGAACATAACATTTAATAAAAGAAAGGATTGTTATATAAAAGAATTTATGAGTAAACACATTTATTGATTAGATTACTAATTTAGAAATATATATGTATAAAATTAGATAATTAGTACAATATAATAAACAATATTTGGTTAGCTAACATCAAACAAAAGTAATAATATTTCGAGTTTAACAGAGCAACACTTTGCTGTATAAGCTTAAAACAAAATAATAATTCTGGTAAATTATTAAACATCCACCTTTTTCAAACATTATTAAAACATTTTCTAGGTATCTAACTATAAAACTAGACAATTGTGGACTTTGAGGCAGTGTTATAGTTATGAAGAATTAGAAAGTCTCATAACAGTCACTGTTAGGCCACAAAATATCCATATATTTAGTCTTTGTCTTATTATTATCAGCATATTAATACCTACCGTTCCTTGAACTAACACAACATTTCTTATTAATCAAAATCATTTACAAAATTTACCACCAAGTGAAAACTGATTAAATAATTTATTAAAAATATTACATATAACTCGTTTTCTTATTATTGAATTGATAAATGTTCATGAAACAAGTTAGTTTAAGAAAGTGATAATACATTTATATAAAATTATCAAATATAGTATATAAAAATATGAAAAAGTTACACATCAAGTCATACCCGCGAATAAAAGTGATAAATACAAAAGATCCATTAAATTGTGTAATTATGTTGAGATGAATGAATTTTAAAATGAATGAATCCTAACTATAATATAATATGAATTAAATGAAACACTTCATCAACAGTTAACTCTTAGTCTAAGATGACAAACTCAATGAAAGCAATGTTAGACTTCTTATGGACGACTTGTATTGAATGGCTCGCAGAAGTGAGTGAAGATATCCTCGGAAAATTCATTTATATATTATGTTAAGGAATGAAAGTCAGGGGTTTTCGGCGGTTATGCCGTTGTATTAAAGCCTCTGTAGGTGTTTGCGGTGTTGTTTTGCTTTCAATAATAACTTTTGCCAAAAAAGGATTAATGAGGGTATAAATGAAAATAAATCTGTGATGTGAGGCAAACAGTGGGCTCTCATTGACCACAAAGGGATTAGTGGATGAAATCAATTTGGGTCTGTAATGCAATATGTAATGAAAAGTCAAGCAATACATGCATATAGTCGACAACAATATGACTTCCATTCACTGGTTCTCTAATTTTACTGAATCTGTAATTCAAAAGATGTGATGGGATTACAGGCGACTGTAACTCCAATTTCTTTATCAAAGACCTTATACTTAATGGGATCATATTGTGGCAACAGTTATATCCATTGAGACCACTGTACAGTACTATAGGATATGCATACTAACATATTTGTCCTTAATTTATACAATAGACTCAATCAATAGTCACACACTGACTGTAAAGTTGTCAGAAAACTTATGTTTAAATTATT